TTTTTTTTTTTGACTAGTTAAATTTTTGTGGAGATTTGGGGCACCTTCTTTGCACCATAAGGCATGGAGCTACAGGTGCAGTTGGCCACTCTGGTAAGGAGAGGCTGATGATCAGATTGTGATCACTTGAGGATCACAGAGTTAACACATTAAAGATGTGTTAACTCTGGTTTTCTCAAAATCCAGATTAATTGGGGGTGGTTCCTTGGATTAGCTCTTCTGCCATGTTTTTTCCAAGGGGAGTCCATGTTTGTAATGGCCTTGGGGCTCTGCCCATGGAGCTTTCTCTCTAGAYGATGGGTTGTTCTGCTGCCTGTTGTGCTGTGTTATCTCCTATAGCTCTTTAGAGTTGCTGGGCTTGATAGGGATGTTCCCCTCTTTTCTTCTGCTCCTCAGTGGTGGTTGGTTTTGTTTTGTTGTGGTTGTTTTAGTGATCCCTCCACAGACTTCCAAGCAGAAAGGGCCTTCTAGAGGTGCCTGGCAGCAGGGTAGGGTTCAGGTTGTCCTGCTCTGTGCGGACTCTTTGGTAGGCTGGGTTTAATCTGAAGCTGGGCAGGAGAAAACAAAAGGAGGGGGGACTGCTACAGCATCTGTAAAAGCTGCCACGACAATTTATGCTGCGGCAAAAACCTTTTCCCTGCAGCACTGCTTTAATAAGATTCCTAGTCAGAAGTCAAACTCTGCCTAGTAATTCATTCTAAACCTTTGTAATTCATTTATTAGGGTGGAAACTGCTGGGGTGAAGTGACCAAACCCGAGGTCCATATTCAAAAYTAGCAGACTGTAATGTCATTTAAAGTTGCAGCGGAAGGAAAATGAGCAGTGCAGCATGGAGCAAGTGATAGCTATTGCATTAGCAGAAAGCTAAATGCGTGTTGTTTGAAATAGCATTTTATTGGGTTTTCCTAAAGTGTGTACTCAATGTGATAGATTATTTTTCATCTCGGATCAAGTTATTGCAATGAAAAATGTTCCATTACAAAGGAATTTCTTGAAAGACAGGGGTATACTTTATCATATTACAGCTCTTGCATCATATTAAATGCTCCTTATGTGTTTTATTGAAATCCAAACCTCTTGCTTGCCACATATATATATTATTTTTTCAACAATRCAAAAGCTTATGATTCACAACCTTTTACATAATAGATATATTAATGAGTTTCTGCATATTTTATGGTTTTGTATTATTCTAGAAGCCATTTATCTATTTTTCTTCATTATCAGTTACGGTAAAGACATTATAATTTTTCTCTGAGTTTAATTGCTGCCAACCAACTCCAGGACTTTCAAAACTAATTTCTTTAGCTACCTGTTGAATTTACTAAAACAGATTCTTTTTTTTTCCTTCATTTTCTGTAGAAAATTGTATCAAGCTGAAGACCCAACTCTCTCTCTTTTTTTTTTTTTTTTTTAATCTAAATACAAGAGGCTAAATTCTGCTTTGGGGTACTTGTATGCTTTTTCATTCAAGTAGATGAGAACTATGCATATGAATCTCGAGTTCTAATTATGTTTCTAAGAATAGGAACTTCTTGCTATAAATACATGACTCATTGGAATGATTCCTGTGTGTTTAGAGTGCAGACGTGGCTCCTCCGTATTCATTAACCTCTAGTTCTCCACTTGAGCTAAGGAAATGTGGGATGATTGGGATGGAGAACTTGCTATGGGGCTGGGGTATTTGCTGCATCTTGATGCAGGGGGACGACAGACTTGCGATTTGTGGGGACTGGTGGCAGTAGCTTYGAGTTGTTTTTGTGCCATCGTGGATGAATTTGGGGCTGGAGAGAGCCCTGTTGTGACTTCAGCCTGGGGAGACCTTGTGATGAGGAGCCTGTGCACAAAATGTACCTTGCTCTTGGTCTCAAAGAGCCTGCCTTTTCCTAAGGGTCACTAGCTGTGTGGATCTGAAGAGTAGTTTGCATGAGAATGGGAACATATCTATCCTGTATTGCATACATGTTGTGTACTGCATTTTTGATCGTGCCACATGCAAATACTGTTCGTGTGTGTCGTCTTTCCCTGCTCAATGGTTTTCCAAATTTAGGGTCTTGAGTGACTGTCAAAACAGACAAATAAGAAGTTATTTCATCCTGACATGTAATAATGAGTATTTTTATGGCAAAGACGTGGGCAATGCAGAAACATGTGTGGACCATACACCATTTAAACTCCCTTTTTAAGCCCCTGTGTGAGACTAAGTGATTCCCAGACCTCTTTGTGTCCTGGCACAGAGCGGGGTCCATCCCTGGCAGGAAGCAACCTCRCATTCCTTGCTATTATGACACCTGGTTCCAATTAACAAATTGCATTAATACAGCAATACAAAGTGAACTTTCACTTTACCCTGGCAATTATTGATTGATATTCTGGGAGTGACAAAGCGTTTTTATTTTTATGTCCAGCAACAAGTAGTTGCCATAGCAACTTTGTTGTTTTTTTTTCCAATGGTTACATCACACCCTCAATCTCTAAGTAAAACCCAGTATATTCTGAATGTCTTTAAACATGATTACAGCAGTAATTTTTTTTTTTAAGATAAATTTTACACCTTGTCTGCTTTTCTGGAGGGAATAATTTAGGTTGAGGGAGGTAATCGAGGAATCTATTGCATCTTCTGCCAGCAACTGTCAGTTTTAGGCAAAGTCCAGTCGTGCCTGTAAAGAGAACTGAGAACACTTTGATTTTTTTTTTTTGCTCTCTCTGACCCTTTGTAGGCTCCTTCATCCTGTTCCTTTTATTTATTTATCTTCAGGAGTCAAGCACTCGATGCTTSCTTTAGGAGTACACATGCTAAATTATTTTCAAAGTAATTTTCTACCAAAAAAATAATTGGAATTATCTTAATCTTAAAGTCTTAAGGTAATTGTTTCTACTTCAAGTGAAGCCAGCAGCTGAGCTTACCGACTTAAGCTCTTGCCTTTGCAGTTATCTAGATAGGGCTCACATTATATCTTTGCTGCTTCTGTTTGCTCAGTGCAACTCTAATAGCTCCCAGCCTTGCTAGAAGATTGTCCTCGTTACATGGGAAAGCTTCCCGGGGCAGAGGTTAGGCAGGGGGGCTTGCCTCTAATGCCCTAATAGTTTTCCTAACCCACTGTGGTTGCTCCTGCGTTGGCTCCTGTTTCTGGGATGTGATCTGTCTTGCTGCAGTCATGGCACTGGGATCTGTGCAGTTCCCCTTCATGTCTGTTTGCCTTGGATTTGCTAATGGAGATGTTTTCTACCCAAAAGAAGCTTCCAGGTCCCAGCACGTAGTTCCTGCGGCTGCTGTGTCTCCTGTACCTAGTGTCCTAACACAAGGCTCCTAAACCTGTGCTTAATTCCATGCACCTTGGGTGATGTAGCAGTAGGATGCGATTGCCYGCCCTTACTCTGGCTGTGGCCAAGGCTCTTGCATGAGTCGTAGCCTAGATGTGCTGAGACCCAATATTTCTTCTTGAACTGTTAGAGCTAGCGAGACCTCCTCTGTCTATASATGTGGATTTTTGTCTTCATCTGACATTGGTGGCCAAAGAAAAGGGGTRGGATTCTGACTTGCAGGCAGCAGTGGCTGGAGAAGAGCAGCGTGGAGGTAGAGCAGGGGGTTGTTCCTGTCGTGCTTCGTCTCCAGCAATGTGCTGCTCTTGCTCGTGAGCTGAAACCACCCCTGGGAAGAGGGAAGTGTGCGCAAGAGAGCAGCGGTGCATGGGTGATGCTGCTTCTGGCTTTCTCAAAAAAACAGATAAAAGGCACCAGGTGCAAAGTGAAATACAGGAAACTTCAGCCTTAGGGGAAAAACRAAATATTAAAGGGTGGTCAAACAGTGGGATAGGTTGCTTGGGAAGAGTATGAAGTCTCCATCCTTGGAGATGCTTACAACCTGCCTGGGCATGGCACTGGACATGAGCAAAGCAGGTAGCCCTGCTTTGAGCAAGGGGTGGGACTGGGATCCCTGCCCACTGCAGCAATTCAGTGAAATGCACCCAAAAGGTGCTGCTAGTGCAGGTGCAGCCCCAAGAGGCAGAGCAGAGCATCCACGGAGGGTCAGTCTTGGGTAAATGCTCACAACTGATGCTGTGAATATTAGCTGTGGTTATTTACCATTAGGGAATCTGTAGGTATTTGAACAATCTTTTCTTTTATTTCTTAATTTTTATTTTCCCCTGTCTTGCAAGGCTTAGATATAATTAAAAGGAGATTGACTGAGAATCAAGTTTGGTTTATCTGTGGGTGACCCAGCAAACCACATCGTTTTAATTTCATGCATCAATGAGATGATACGTCATGCTTTGTACAGGGCGACAGCTTGCTACATTGCATAACTCAACATGCTGATGCAACCAGGCATGCAAAATTACCCTGGTAGGCAGACCCAGGAAATTCAAAACAACAAGCAGCTTCCTCTGCAGCTTGCATTGTTCAACAAACCTCGTTGTTCCCTGTCTTCCTTCTTATTCCTGTCCAGTAAAYGTGATGCAAGTGGAGCCTTTTGAATGATATAATTCGGTAAGAATTAAAAACACATGTAACTTCAACTTAGCTTGTGGTTGCTTACTGCTTAAGARCTCCTTACTGGCCTCTCTTTCAGGGATTGTCCCCATTTTTTGTGATATATGAGACTGTAGGATTCAACTGTCCTTCCATCCTGTATAGTGGTGGCTACCCCCAGTAGAGAGACTATGGGCACAGAGACCATGAGTCCAAGGAACCTCTTCCA